ATTTAGAGATCTATTTGTTATAATAAGAGTAAGTTAAACTAATAATTTACTATTACTATAATAAGTTAAGCACGAAGCTCCTATCTAAGGAAATTACAATTATTATATAGGACTTTCTACCCTACCTAAGTTCCGACGAGTTCGACGAGTTTAACAAGTTTAATAGCGAACCTAGCGAACTTGTCGAACTCTTACTTGTCACGTAATACTACCCAAAACCGGGGCCTATCTACTAATATAAATATTACTAATATTAACTAAATTAAGCTATTAGACGGCGGTCCTAGGAACTACTTAATTCCCGTGACCTCGCTTAATCCTAGGACCTTTAGTCCTAGGAGTATTACGACGCCGAGGCCGACGCTACTCGTAATACTAAGTATAGTCGAGACTAATATCTTAGATACTACTATAGATACTATTTACCTATAACTAGACAAGAATAGAAGAATATACCTTATTATATATTACTTTAAGAAATACTCGCCGGCTAAATAGAACTATAATATCTATAAGAAGAAACTTATAGCTATACTTAAAGTACTAAGATATTAGAAGATTTATCTTTAAGGAGCTAAATTCTCTATTATTATTCTTATAGATTATAAGAACCTATAAACGTTCTTAATAATAAAGAAATTAGATAATCGACGAATAGTATAATAGGCTAAAGAACTCGCCTATTTTAATATTATAATTAAATATATAAAAGAAATAGATAATCCCCGAGCTAACGCTTTAAGCTATTAACTAGAATATAAAGGAGATAAGATCTACAAAAAATAAGCTATTCTTAAAAAAGATAAGAATAGAAATCTTATCTCTAACTCTAAAGTAATTACCGCTTTTACTAAAGTCTAAGGCCTATAGTATAATAATATTATAACTACCTAGAATAAATTACTAGTAGTTTCTAAAGAAAACTCGCTATATAAAGATAGAAAACTTAAAGTACTAAGCTTATATACTTTAAAGTTTATCTAGAAATTCTATAAAGCTCTAGAATATAGTTATTAAGAAATTAGAAGAACTTTCTAGAGAATCTAGTAGTAATTTTATATCGATAAGCTATAAACTTTAGTTAAGAAAGTAGTAACTAAATATAACGTCTATATTCGAAATAAATCTACGTACTATATACCTTATAGACTTATAGAATAAATACTTATTTTAAAGAAACTATAGAAAATAATATTATAGAACTTTATTATTAAACTTCTACTCTTAAGAGATCTAATAATAGAAGTCGAATACGACGTAATTCTAGTTATAATAGAAAGACTTACTAAGTATATAATTCTAATACCTTATAAGAAGTTAAGTACTACTAAGAAACTAGTATATACTTTTATATAATATATAGTTATAGACTATAGTACTCTAGAAGAAATAGTCTTAGATCGAGATAAACTATTTACATCTAAGTTCTAGATAGCTATAACTATCTATATAGAAATAAAGTAAAAGCTATCGATATTATTTTATCTATAAATAAATAGAGGTAATAAAAGAATAAACTAAGTAGTTAAAGTATACTTAAGGTATTATATAAACTATAAATAAGACAATTAGGTCGCCTTATTACTAATAGCCTAGTTCTTATATAATAGTATAGCTATAGAGATAATATAAGTATTACTATTTAAAGCTAACTTTAGTTATAAGAAAATAGTATTCTAAGAATCTTATAACGCGTCTATTAATAGTTAGGTAGAAAGGATTCTTATTAACAACCTTTTCTCTCTTTATAAATAACTTATTAAAGAACTTAAGTTTATCTTAAAACAAAACACGTTCTACTATAATAAGAAATATAGTTAGAAGCCTATACTAAGAGAGGGAGATAGAGTTTATTTAGTTAGACGAAATATCTAAATAAAACGACTAAGCGACAAACTAGATAATAAGAAACTAGAACTATTTAAAATTAAAGTATATAAAGAACCTTTAAATTATAAACTAGCTCTACTAAAAAGTATAAATATCTTTCTAGTATTCTATATATCTCTTCTTAAACTAGTACTACCGGGAGCGCTATTAGCTCTAGTTATAGAAATAAAACTAGTAAACTCTAACGCTAAATATAAAGTTAAGAAAATCTTAGACTATAAACTCGTTAGAGGAAAACTACGTTATCTAATAAAGTAGAAGGACTACCTATAATTAGAAAATATATAGAAACCGATAAATAACCTTAACTACTCTAAGTAGCTTAAGAAGTTCTACCGATAGTATCTAGGTCTACCTAGAAAGACCTAGGATCGAAGTTCGGGTTAAGTAAGGATAGGTTGTAACTAGAGTAGTCGACGGGTAGAGTAGGGTAGGCTAGTAGCTATTTCGCTTCTACTTCTCTCTCCTTCTATTCCTTCTTCTCCTCTACCTCCTATTTTTCTTTCTTCTCTAGCTCTACTATAGAGTTTAGCCTAGAACGTATTAAATCCTTCTCGCGCTCGTCTAGCTACTACTAGAGCTTACGTAGTCGAAGAATCTTAGCCGTAGCCTTCTATTAAGACTACTAGGCCCTCTTCTTCTTATCTTTTAGTTTTTACCTCTACTAGTCGATTAAAGACTAGTCTATTAAAGAAGGTATTTAATTCCGCGACTAGACGTTATAGAATTTCTTTAGTCGAGTATACTTAGAATACTTATTCGACTCGTTATCTGAGCCTAATATAATATACCGGCGCCTTAATCTTATATATCTAGAGTAAGGAGCTATTTTGTTACCTGTTCTCTCGATATACTTAGTAAGTTCGATCTAGCGTTTATAGTTAATAGAGCGACGAGTAGTTATATTAAAAAGAAAGAGAGTCTATAGCCTTTAACTAACGCTTTCTTAGTTATACTTAAGTATATAGACCTACTAGTCCGAATAGAGGATAGTATTATAAGTAGCGTCGGCCTAGGCGTCGTAATACTCCTAAGACTAAAGGTCCTAGGATTAGACGAGGTTATAGGAATCGAGTAGTTCCCGGGACCGCTATCTAATAGATTAATTTAGTTAATATTAGCTATATTTAGGTTAGCGGATAGGCCCCGGTTTTAGGGTACCGTTACGTAAGTAGCTAGGCCTAACTCTACGGGAGTTACGTAAGTAGCCGCTAGGTCGACTGTGTCGACCGTGTCGACTACGTCGACCGGGTCGACTATACCTACGTAGAGTATAAGGTAGGAAATTCTATATAA